TCACTTACTTTTATTTGTATGTATTATTGTATTTTTTTATTATTTTGTATGCCCCCCTCTATTTGTAACTTTTGTTTGCATCATTCCTCTACGCAAAGGTTGTCTGGAAGAAATCACTTTCAGTGATAAGACCGCCTATTGTACATACTTTAATTAGTTTTAACTATATTGATGTTTCTGTATTCTGGTGTACAAAAAAGGATAAATAAATAAATAAATAAATAAGTACGATCTACCAAAATGCCTTTCGAGTGGAATTATGAAAATACAATAAAGTTTTTAGAACTGCTGGGATCAGAAAAAACTATGTGGGTATATATAACGATAAAAACCACAATTCATCATCTTCTACGAATAAGAATTTTCTTTTTGAGATAACATAGTACCTATGTACATAATTAATTATAAATTCGTCAAATTTATTATATTAATATATAATTAATATAAATTTAGTTTAAGGAATTAATGAACATTGACATTTTATTTCTAAAAACGATTAGTAACTCATATTGATTATTTATTTATTAAAATGTAAAATCAGTTAAATGGTAATATTTGCATAATAGCCTGAGATTTTTAAATTATAATTTTATTGTAATTAAAATAATGAATTAATGTATACTGTAGTGTAATTATTAAAATAATAATAGCTTAACTAATCTCATATAATTTTAATATTATTTATGTAACAATAATGTAATAATTCAATCAATAATTTATGAACAATTTACTGTATAAGAATTCAAATAGAGTGGATCTGTATAAGTATTTAATTGTACATAATATTTGAATTCAAAAAGAATGTTTGTACCTAACTTTTAATAAGCAATGCAATAATTTTAAAATGTAACATTGGGTTTGTGTAATTAGCTGTATTTCATATCATTTTTGCATACCAATTATGACAAAACATGTCAGTTCCACGTTATTGATCATCTTATGTACCATGTTTTAAGCAAATAAATTTTCTATCTATCTTCTTTTGAACTTGATATCTTTTTAAACTATTAACATAATTTTGTATTGCAAGAAGACACAGCGCGGACGCTGTAATTATTTCGACGTCTGCCATAGTCGAAAGCCGAAAGTGATGTGAGTGGTAGGGCAGAGTGTAAATGCACACTACCCGCGATCCTGCTACGGCAGTATTTAGCGAAGTATGTCCGGCAGCGCGAGGAGCAGTGGCAGGGGCTGAATGTAAATGAGGCTTATTACCTTACCTATGGACTTGATGGAGTGACCTGAAGGTGTACTTTGGTAATCGGTATTGGAACAGGTCGCCGAGTACTACTAGGTGTGCCGAATTTGGGCTCGTTTTGTTACTTGGCGACCAGTTGCAATAGCGATTACCAAAGTTCACCTTCAGGTCACTCCGTCAAGTCCAGAGGTAAAGACTCATCATACCTAACAAAAAGAGCCCAAACTCGGCACACCTAGCAGTACTCAGCCACCAGTTCCAATACCGATTACCAAAGTACACCTTCAGGTCATTACGTCAAGTCCGGAGGTAAGGACTCATCATACCTAACAAAACGAGCCCGAACACGACACACCTAGTAGTACTCGGAGACCAGTTCCAATAGCAATTACCAAAGTACACCTTCAGGTCACTCTGTCAAATCCGGTGTTAAGGACTCATCATACCTACCGAGCCCAAAAACGGCACACCTAGTACTACTCGGCGACCAGTTCCAATAGCGATTACCAAAGTACACCTTCAGGTGACTTCGTCGTGTCCGGAGGTAAGGACTCATCATACCTAACAAAGCGAGCCCTAACTCGGCGCACCTAGTAGTATTCGGTGACCTGTTCCAATGCCGATTACCAAAATACACCTACAGGTTACTCTGTCTAGTCCGGAGGTAAGGACTCATCATACCTAACAAAACGAGCCCAAACACGATACACCTAGTAGTACTCGGCGACCAGTTCCAATAGCGATTACCAAAGTACACCTTCAGGTAAATTCGTCAATTCCGGAGGTAAGGACTCATTATACCTAACAAAACGAGCCCAAACTCGGCACACCTAGTAGTACTCGGCGACCAGTTCCAATAGCAATTACCAAAGTACACCTTCGGGTCACTGCGTCAAGTCCGTCGGTAAGGACTCATCATACCTAACAAAGCGAGCCCTAACTCGGCACACCTAGTAGTACTCGGCGACCAGTTCCAATAACGATTACCAAAGTACACCTTCAGGTCACTCCGTTCAGTCCGGAGGTAAGTACTCATCATACCTAACAAAACGAGCCCAAACACGACACACCTAGTATTACTTGGCGACCAGTTCCAATAGCGATTACCAAAGTACACCTTCAGGTCACTCCGTCAAGTCCGTCGGTAAGGACTCATCATACCTAACAAAATGAGCCCGAAATCGGCACACCTAGTATTACTTGGCGACCAGTTCCAATAACGATTACCAAAGTACACCTTCAGGTCACTCCGTCGAGTCCGGAGGTAAGGACTCATCATACCTAACAAAACGAGCCCAAACTCGGCACACCTAGTTCTACTAGTCCAGGTGTTCCAGTATTAGTTACTGAAGTTCACTTTTAGGTCACTCCATCAAGTCCGGAGGACTTACGAGTCTTATCATAACTGACAAAACCAGCCCAAAGTCCACAGCTAACTTCCCAGTGCCAGCAGAGGGCTCCCAGTGCAAAGCAGTCTCTAGAGTAGGTATTCGTATTTCGTAACTAAGTCTAATTACTCTATGTATCTAAGTATATTTTTGAGGTGTAAGAAATCAAAAACAAATTCGATCTTTCAAATTATCAAATTAATTTTATTTGACTACGATTCTTACAGCCAACCGTGCGTATACTCGTGTGCATGACTCATGTCAATGTAATAGTTCGATTCTATACCTATATCAATTTTGTAAACGCGTTTTTAAAAAATCTTAACGTAAATACTGCGGCAAAAAGAGCGACACGTCTCTACTGCACCAGGCCTCGGCCGGCAGTGACTGCACAGGCGTTTACGCAAACATCCGTACGTATTATTTCAGAAATAAGAATATGCGATTTTAAAAAATAACTACTAGTTGGACTAAAAAATTAAAACACTATAACGTTAATATGTTGAATGTATAAAAATCTGACAAAAAATCAGAATGATTGCATGTATACTAGTATGGTTTTTACTAGTTAAAAGAAATTTTTAGAGGTATGTTTGTGATTTTTTTCTATCATATTAAATTAGTGGTATCATGTTTTCAACACACTATCTAACTAGCATATATCCTGGACAATATCATATATTTTCCTGGGTTTGTTTACTGCAGTGGATCATATACTTTGAGGCATTATAAAACTTGCGTTTAGGGTCATGCCTCGTCTTAACCAATCATCACTGAGTGGCGGTTGAACCGAGTGGTTACTTGGGTCCAATTATATTGGAACGATTTGGTTACTTGAAAAACTTAGTTACAATAACCCACACACGTGCGAGAGCTCTAGTATTTCATTCGCAAATTTACCTGGTAAATGTGATGATCCAAGCTTCTTGTCCCAACTCTCAGTCATACGACAAAGACCTCTGAATAAATTAATGTTGTTTTGTTATTCTAAGTTTGTCTTGAACAAACAACCTAACTAGCAAAGGTTGTGGCTTGTGGTCAAACTACAAATATTTGATAGTAAATTAAAACTTTTTAATAACTTTGCTTTGAATTAACAGAACTGATGAAGAATTCTCTCTGAAGTAAATGAATTTATTATTTTGGTTACATACTATTTGAGTTGTTGATGAAAGGTGTGGTTTGCAAGATGATGTTGTAACCAAGATTAAGAAAGGAATGCTTCGGTGGTTTGGTTATGTAGAAAGAATGAATGAGGAAAGAGTGACAAAGCAAATTTATGGTGCAGAAGTGAGTCGGAAAAGGACGTCCTAGGTGAAAGTTTATTGAGTAAATTGGCGATATATTGAAAATGGGCCAAATTAGGAGTACATTAAAATATGAGGTAGTGGATATTCTTACACCACTACTGCAAGGTAAAGGCAATAACACTATTTTATTACATCACTGCTAAAATACTTCTACTTAAAATTTCCGTTTCAAGTGCACTCGTTGATAATTTTTTAATACAGCTGTTCAAAAAGTGGCGTATTGGGGTCATTATCAGGCGACTCATTATTTGGTTGATTTCGGTGGCATTTTTTGTTTTTAAATTTAGGCCTTACTAACATGAAATATCTATTCTAGAGTTAATTTTTTTTTATATAGAAGAGGGGGCAAACGAGCATGTGGCTCACCTGATGTTAAGTGACTACCGCCGCCCATGATCAACCGCAACACCAGGGGAATTGCAGGTGCGTTGCCGGCCCTTTAGAAAGGAGTAAGCTCTTATATATAATTTAATATATATAAGTAGAAGAGGGAATCGTATAGACCGAATGGTTAAGAAGGTATTTAATTTTAAAAAAATGGTGTCCACCGAAATCAAATAAATATAAAATAATTTATATTTCAAAGATAATTTTCTTAAGGTAAATTTACTGCCTACTTGATAACTACTATGAACTTATGATCTGTAAAGAATTGCAGGTTAATTCGACAACAAAAAAATTTATGTTATCAAGACTTATGTGTAACCATTTTTATTAATTTTTGTGAAAACTTACAAAAATCAACTTTGGTAGAAAGCTTTAAATTATTATATTAAATGTCATTAAAGATAGTAGTCTTAAACTAACATTATAGGAACTTAAAAAAAATCAGCATTCTTGGTCGAGATCTAGCTTAATCACAGTCAATTTACTTATTGAAAAAAATTACTACAAAATCACTTAAAAATCAATCCTTTAAACAACATCAACAATTGTAGAAGGCACTTACATAACTAATAGTATTTGTATTTTTAATAAAAATATTACTTTTTCTTTTGATCTTAAGACAGTTAAATAAGCTTTAGGTATAATAATCACCCAGGATTAAATTAACAATGTAATAAACTTCTTATAAAACTTTGTATTACAGTTTTCAATCCTTAATTAAAAAATGTTATATTCCTCGTCACTACTTTCTTTACAATTTACAATTTTGGAGACTACTTCATTCATTAATGTCGGAGCAATATTTTCACAATCTGTCGAAACACGTGTCCAGAAGCTGTCACTTTCATGTAATCCAATGTCTGAAGGTAAGGTATGGGACAGGCGCTGTTTGGTTTCATAGAACTCATCAGCAAGATCAGCAGAATAGCTACAACCAGGTTGAATAAGAATATTCGATAAAATTTGAGGCTTATTAGATTCAGTTGCACTGACTCCACTCCCTTTTTTGGCTTGACTTGACTTTTTAATCAGATTGATCTTGTCACTCTTGTTCTTGTTCGTTCTATCAGTCAACAGTCTATCAGCTTGCTCGCCTATGATGTATAATCCTACATGATACCCATGTTCACATGACACTGAATTATTTTTAAATTCACCTTCGGTGCAACTCATTTTTCTCATCGATAGTTGGTTGGGCTTATTGGCGTTCCATACTGCCTGATGTACTTTCATAGTCCCTGCAAATTGCTTGAGATTGAATGGAATTAGCAATTCTTTTTCATAAATACCGGAATCGTCAATAGTTTTCGTTATAATACCTTGAACAGATTTCAGATGAGTCATCAATGATGATAAGCTTGTGATATCATTGCCTTGAGCAACTATTCGATCCGCTGTTCTTTTGAGTGTTGCACCGACACCATCTGGGGCTCCTTTTCCATGGCCACTTTCTGTATAATTCCATGTAACACTAGTCAAACTGGGAAAGTACCAATGGAGTTTACTGATGATATAAAACATTTACGGTTTCGGTACTGAGCCGACGGACTATCAGAAATGAAATGTAGTATACAAATATTGAGATTTTCATCTTCTATGAATTTTAAAATCGGAAGTAAATGTTCCCAAATGGCTGGTGCATCATGGCGTAAAGACTCTGATAATGTACACATCGACTGAACTTTCAGAAGTCCATTTTTACGATAATAAATGACCACGGTGTGCAGGGTTATTTGTTGTCGGTTACCCCCGAAATGAACGGCTTGAATTTCATTACCGTATTTTGTGCTGTAATTTTCACTAAAGTCGCAGTGAATTATACACTCTTCGTCAGTGAGGTCGCTTTTCATTTTTTTAATAAACTTGTTTTGTGCGATCATAACTCCACAGTGAGTCATGTATGAAGGTAACATTTTTTCAAATTTTAAAATGGTGTCCCTGGGGAAAGTAGTCACTTTATCTTTCGTTGTGTGAATGGCTGTTTTTGTAACTCCATTCGTGTAATAAGTTTATTTTTACTTTTTTGCCAAATCCAGTAAAACAATACTTCAGTGTTATTGAATTCATTATAGATTAAACTTTTATCTTTGCAGTCATCGCATTTTCTAGTTAAACATGGCACATTCGAAGAGTCACAGCACAGTGATGACAAAATATCTTTGGTAGATTTTTCTTGAATTAAGTTGTTTTTTAAAGCAGTCACCATCAAGTCCATATTTTCATGTTCGATACAAAGACAGGTTTCTCGTTTATTTACATTAGGTTTCAGTATCCAAAACGGTCGTTTTTTTGCAAAAACTGGAGTAACTAATTTTATTTTGGGGATTTGTTTGCTTAAACTTAGTATATAAGTCTTTTAACGAATCATTTAAATAGCGTCTTTGTTGTTTATTCTTTTTTTGGGTAATAAACTCTTTCTTCCCAGAACACATACGACTGTTTTCATCTTCTTCAAGAAAAGTTTTGATGTCCTCTTCCACATTATTTTTAATTGTTTTTATAGTGTCTGATTCACTTTGTTTAATATCTTCAGTATTATTTTTACTTATATGTTCATATTCTCTTAATTTGGCACTTTGGTATTTTAATCTATATATTTGTTTTCGCTGTCGTTCGTTGACAGTCTTCAATTGATCAATCTTCTCTTTCTGTAACTGTTAGATTTTGTTCATGCGGTATTTAAGTCTACGTATGATAACTTTGGTATTCAGTTTCTTGTTAGCTTTTGGAGTTGGAGGAAACTCCTTTTCAATCACACGAACTGATGATCTTGTACATGGCTTTGAAATTTTACTTACGTCACTAGACGGACTCAATGGTGCTCACGAGCCTCGATAAGCCTTAATACGCTGATGTAAAGGAAATGAAACGACGGATGAACTTGATGGTAGCAAATCAACATAGGAACTTGCTTCAGTTTGAAGCAATTCTGATCGCATTGTTTGTGATTGTGAAGTCACCAAAGGATCGTCAGTTTTGTTGGTTACTTCTGGTACGATTATTAAATCCTCTTCAAGACACCTCATCTCTTTACGCCTTCTTTTCAAATTGTGTTTGTTGGAAAATATCCTACTTCTCTCTCTAAAAATTCGTTGTGGACGAGGATCTAATTCACTTACAGACTTTATCTTTCCTTCATTCTTCCTTTTATAATACCGTTGTCTACCTTTCTCTTTGTGCACTGCGTAAAGCTCTGGATCACTCTTAATGCGAGCTTTCCGACGTCGTTCAGACAATCTCTTTTTAGCCTACCGATCTTCTTTTGAATCTGACATAATCTCAATACTGAAACAAGATAAGGGGTGGTAAGCAAGTTAAATTTACGATCATAACATGTAAATAAATAACGATTAATTGATTTCGGTGATTTCAAAATTAATTTCGGTGCACCTATTTCCACCGAAAACACCGAAATCAATGCCACTGAAATCAAAATAATTAACAAAATCCTAAATGTTTTCAAAAATAAACTGATTTTTTTATATTAACCTCTTTATTTGAAATCTAATACATAAAAGACATAATTTTATTATAATTTAAAAATATTAATTCAAATAGTTGTGGATAAAATGGATTCACCGAAATCAATTTTAGGGGTATACCAAGCCACCGAAAACGATTACGTACCTCAATAAAAGAGTGACGCGGTAACGCACAGACGCGTTGATCTTACCACCAATGCGGGGCGACTGACAGTTTGTATTACTCGAACGACTATTCTCAAAGTCACTAGAGTATGGGATATATGAACGGATTGGTGCGCGCCACTGATATCAAACCTAAACGTTGGACGTGAAGGCAACCAGATGTAACTTGACTACTAAGGCCTATTGTGGTTTAGTAATATTATAAATGGAATTAATAACTATCTAGTTGTTTGTGAACACATGTCAAATAGTGCCGAATATTGGAGAAAAAAAGATAAAAAATAATTGCCGCCGCAATATGGGGCCGGACGCGCCACCGAGGTCAATGTTTTCGAGGTTTATAATTTTTTTAACTAACTTATATTTAATTTATTCAAAAAAGAACATATGCCCCTCCTAATATTTTGATCGTACCTGTTATATAAAAAAATATCAAGTTGTTAGTAATCCATTTCGTACTGGATTTCAACCCGGACACGCCTTTTTGAGCCGTCTGAGAATGACCGATTGCAGTGACGTATAGCGTTCGGAATGTGGGCTATTACGAGTACATACTCGAGCTTTTTCTTTACCTTTTCCGAACTCGTGCGTTCTCTTTCCCAACTATTAAAATAATGTCTATTAAAGAGAAAAAAACAACCAAGAAGATTTTTCTAAAAAAATTATCGAAGTTTTTATGATTCATGCAAATTGTTTGACTAAATAATGTATTTTGTTTATTACGCTCACATTCCTTGTATGCATTTAGTGTCCAATAGATCGTTGAACAGAGCATACGTGTTTAGTTTTATTTCACTATACCCAACCAAGTGACGACCTTATTCAAAGCAACATATGGTCCAAATTCGAGCCGGATCCAGCGACGTTTACCTGCTCCTTTAGGGGCTGCCCAAGAACAAAGATTTGAAAAAAAAGGGTCGACTTGTTAACAAGTGTTCGAGTTTAAATTCATTAGCAAGAGTTTTGAGTTTAAATTCATTTCATTTTACTTTGTTAAGATTAAAGATTTTATATCTACTTTGTATAAATAATGGCTACGGAAGTGGAAAAAGCTTTGATTAAAGTGGAAAACATTGCACACACTATGAAGAAAACACAAATTAACCTGAAAAAGTGCCCAAAAGCAAGATTAACACGAAATTACGTCGAATCACGCCTTAAATGTTTAGAAGATTATTGGTGCGAATATAAAGAAGCTTACGACCAAATTATTTGCAACATATCGAGGGAAAAAAGAGAGCAAATACCGTACATTGCGCAGGAGGAGTTTTATGACCATGAAGAAATATACATTACTTTGAAAACTGAGCTCAAAGATTTGTTAGTATCCCAACAAGTTAGTGATAGTGCTCCGTTATTAATATCAAGTGAATCTCAATCTCAACAAACTCGTGTAGTGCTACCCAAAATACAGTTACCAACCTATAGTGGGCATTATGAAGAGTGGTTATCGTTTCATGACTTGTTTAATACACTTGTTCACACTAACGAAACGCTTAATAATGTACAGAAATTGCATTATTTAAAAACTAGTCTTACTGGTGAAGCTGCGTCTATATTAAAACATGTACAGGTAATAGATTCGAACTATGAACAAGCATGGGACATATTAAAAAGACGATATGGTAATAAACGAATAACTATCAACGCCGTCATGAAAAAACTTTTTTCACAAAAGAAGATGACCGTAAATTCTTCAAATCATATTAAGAGTTTGCTAGATACTACGTTCGAATGTTTGCATCAGCTTAAAAACATGAAGGTAAATATTGAAAACTGGGATCCTATGATAATATTTGTGACTGTGCAGAAACTAGACTCTGAGACGCATAAAGACTGGGAAGAACACGTTAGCAACAATTGCCAAGATCCTGATAGTCTTCCATCACTCGATATTTTTCGTAAATTTTTAGAAAGCCGTTTTCGCACGTTGGAGCTCACAGAACCGACGAAACAAAGATTGAATAATAATGTCATCCAACGAGAGAAGTCGTATCACATTACAACCAACGTAGAAACATGCAAAAAATGTCAAATGTGCAATGAAAATCATACACTTAGCCATTGTAAAGTGTTCGGAAAACATTCACCACTACAACGAAGTGAATTCATTAAAACTAATAACTTGTGCTTCAATTGCCTTTCACCTGGACACTCTGTAAGGCAATGTCGTATTCCAACATGTTGTCGGTTATGCAAAAGGCGCCACCATTCTCTTCTTCACGAAAATAAGGAAAGCAACGTAAGTGAAAGCACAACAGGCAATTCTGATAAAGTACGTACAAAACAACCTGAAGTGGCTTTACATACAAACGTGGAGAAGAATGAAGGAGAGAAAGAAAGCATTACAGTGGTTGCACACAGTTCTAGCAAAGAAAGTACAGCATTACTTGCAACAGCAATTGTAATAGTAAGAAGTGAAGACAATTATATGACCAAGCTGCGAGCATTAATTGACCAAGGCTCCCAAGCTAGCTTCATAAGTGAACGTGCTGCACAACTACTCAAGGCTAGGAGATATCCAATTAGGGGTGCGGTCATTGGTGTTGGATCAACTAGAGAAGATTTAAAACAAGTCGTTCAAATCAACGTACAGTCGAGATGCGCAGCTTACAACCTAGAAGTCAGAACTTATGTTATGTCAAAACAACTTACAACTAAAATACCTTCGCATATAATCAAAAAGGGCAATTGGCCTCATTTAGATGGGTTAGAACTAGCTGACCCAAACTACTACAAACCAGGTTCTATTGACCTGCTCTTGGGTGTTGACGTATACGCACGTATAGTGGAAAATGAATTAATCAAGGGTCCACCAGGGTCTCCGTGCGCTCATAAAACAAACCTTGGCTGGATTTTATTCGGAAATATAGATGATAGACCACAACAAGCAGAGTCAGTACTGGTTATGCATCATCAGATCATAGCAGAAGATTTCTTAAAGGCAATTTGGGAAATAGATCAAGATTCAAAAAGAAAGCACACCAAAGAAGAAAAACGATGTGAAAAATTCTATGAAGAGAATTATAAAAGAAACAGCGAGGGAAGATACATTGTGGGACTTCCATTTCGTTCCAATGACATTGTTACACCGGACGGAAATACGAGAGAAATTGCAATGAAGCGCTTGATTCAGCAAGAAAAAAGACTATATAAAACACCGGATTTAAAAGAAGAGTACGACAAGGTATTAGAAGAATACTTAGCAATGGGACATATGGAAGAAGTTCCGAAAGATGAAATAAACAATCGTTCTGTTTATTTACCACATCATGCCGTTATTCGAAGAGATAAGGAGACAACTAAAATCAGAGTTGTATTTGACGCTTCGTGCAAAGCTAATAATGGCATATCTTTGAATGATGAGCTCATGACTGGACCGGTACTCCAAGAAGATATGCGAAGCATAATAATGAGATGGCGCATGCATAGGGTATGCTTTGCAAGTGACATAATGAAAATGTACAGAATGATTCTCTTGGAGAAGAAGGATACAGACTACTACAGAATACTCTGGCGTCGTAACACCACAGGCAGAGCTGGTGACCAGCTAGCGGATGTTAAAGATTACAGATTGAAAACTGTCACATTTGGTACAGCATGTGCACCTTACCTAGCTGTCAAAACTTTGATGAAACTCGCAGATGATGAGGGTGAAGAATATTCTGAAGCTGCTAGAATTATTCGTGAAGACTTTTACGTCGATGACTTGACTTCAGGCTGTGACACAACAGAACAAGCAACTCGTATCAGCAAAGAAATCATGACAATTCTTAAACGAGGTGGATTTGAACTTCAGAAATGGGCCTCAAATGATCCTGAGTTTTTAAAATCGATAGAACCAGACCGAATCACCACAAAGGCTAGTCTTAATTTGAAACTAGATGGCACCATTAAAGCCCTTGGGACCTTGGAGGCCCTAACATGGCCCTAACATAGAATCTTGGAGAAGATAATTTTTGTTACCAACTGCAACTGGAACCTATATCAACCAATATTACAAAAAGACTCATACTGTCAGATTTACAAAGACTCTTTGATCCACTTGGATGGATAGCACCAGTAATTGTTAGAGCAAAGATACTTGTGCAAAGATTGTGGCTAGAAGGAGTTGGTTGGGACGAAGACATAAATAAAGAACTGAAAAGAGAATGGGAAATCATAAAAGAAGATTTAAAAAATGTCAATAAAATAAGAGTTCAACGATGGGTGAACATTTTAAGCAATGAAAAGGATCGAGTAACATTACATGGATTCTGCGATGCTTCTGAGAGGGCATACGCAGCTGTAGTATATTGCCAAGTACTAACGAAAGATGGTGATATAAAAACACACATCATCGCCGCGAGGACGAGAGTCGCTCCTGCTAAGACCATTTC